CAAGCCCTGACACCCATTCTCTGGTCGACAGGTGAACATGGCAGAGACGAGGAGCAAGATCCTAAAGTCACCTTCCGTCGGAGCGTCCTGCTGACCGCCTAGGTGAGACAGCGGGTTTTAGGTGTGTGTTCGCAAAGGTGATGTTGTTATTGTTATATTGCCTAGCGCGCTTCGTTTGTTTGTTTTTTTGTTGGTGCGGTGGGGAGCGAGTTGGACTGGGTGTGCATGCGTGTGTTGGGAGAGGGGAGGCTTGTAAGTTTGTGCTGTATTTGTGTGTGTGTGTGTGTGTGTGTGTGTGTGTGTGTGTGTGTGTGTGTGTGTGTGTGTGTGTGTGTGTGTGTGTGTGTGTGAGAGAGAGAGAGAGAGAGAGTGTGTATGTTTGTGTGTGTGTGTGTGTGTGTGTATGCATCTGTGTGTGTGTGTGAGAGAGTGAGAGAGAGAGTGTGTGTATGTTTGTACGTGTATGTGTGTGTGTATGCATCTGTGTGTATGTGTGTGTGTGTATGTGTGTGTGTGTGTGAATCTGTGTGTGTATGTGTGTGTGTTTGCATGGTTATGTGTGTCTTTGTGTGTATATATGTGAGAGAGAGAGACAGAGAGAGAGAGAGAGAGAGAGAGAGAGAGAGAGAGAGAGAGAGAGAGAGAGAGAGAGAGAGAGAGAGAGAGTACGTGCGTATGTGTGTGTGTGCGTGCGTGCGTGTGTGTGTGTGTGTGTGTGTGTGTGTGTGTGTGTGTGTGTGTGTGTGTGTGTGTGTGTGTGTGTGTGTGTGTGTGTGTGTGTGTGTGTATGTAAATGTGCCATTCCCTTTGCCTTTGTGAATACATTTGTATTTTTTATACATGTCCGCTTTGCATTTGTCTGTCTATATAAACGAGTGTTGGCTGGTTGAGTGTTCAGGCATGTAAGTATTAACTGCATTCAGAGCCAACAAAACATGCCAGAATAATTTATCAGCATTCCATACATGTGGCTTTCATAATAAAAGTTCCATTTAAACTCTCCAGCCAAAGACCATGACCGAATATAAATCATTGGGAAAATATTTGTACAACGATCCATATTCATAGTGGATCCCCTCGGCTGAGAAAAAAAAATATCTTATAACACAATATAGAAAATGTAAACAAACCTGAAAACGATTCACTAAATGACAGTTATTTGTGTTTCGCGTTTCGTTGATCTGAAAAACAGATGTACTGATTCAGTTTTAATCCACTATGACCTGCGTTTATGCTGGACATAACGTATATATCATTCTCTTCATCACGCTCTCTTTTTCGTTTTGCCGAGTGTAGCATCAGCACAATCTTCGATAACATAAAATTAATAACGTTGTCACATCACATTAATTCTCAACCGAATAAACATCATGATAACTTTAAGGACAGATCGATTTATGCCACTCCGACATTGGTCATGCTGTGGTAATCAAATGAGAATGTATAATTCATTGGTGCACGAGAATGTATGCCAGCTGTCATGCAACTTGGCAGGGGACTTAGTAAGCGTTGCAATGCTGATAGCCACGTCACTACAAATGAGTTGTCTCGTGTCGTTTTAATTACCTTCTGCATGACACAAAGCCTATCGCTATAGCTTTTTTTGTTTTGAATGGATTCACTCCGCCTGAGGTCCATGCGGAAAAGAATTTCAGTTGTGGCACTTAACTAACGTTTGTATTTTGATCGGCCATGGTCTGTTGCTGCCATTACTATCACGATCGTTATTATTGTTATTATCATAGTTATTGTTGGTGGTTTTGTTACTGTTGGTAATTATGATTACCACTGTTATGACTAGAACCATTTTTATCATCAATAATATTGTTATCAATCATATTCTTATCATGCCTATTTTCACAGTATCATTATTTACTACTATTGCTATTATCACTATTATTACTTTAATTACTATTATTACTCTTATAACCGTTATTACTAATAGTTGTAGCATCCTTACCCTGCACGGTAATTTCTGATAAAAAAATAATTGATGAAACTTCACTTAGATTAGAGGTCACCCATTTTTTCATCATTTTCACAAGTTTACAGAAGTACTCTTTTCCCAAGCCCTCCCCCTCCCTCCAGAGTGTACAAAGCAAAAAGATAAAAACGATTATGTTCTCCACCACAGAATCTCCAGAGTCTATAGGAATGCGTTGATCCTGACAGATCCTACCCATTATAGGACATCCTGTATTGGCTTATAGTCAGTGGAGGATGTCTAAAACATATGTGTTCAAGTGTCTCTGTGCTGGAAATTGAGAATCTCATCTGCCGTACATCTTCCAATCTTGATATCGGCAGCGCGATACGAAGGCAATAAATAGTTTGTGATCCGGTTACACCTATTCTAGAAAGCCCCCCCCCCCCAGCGTAGGGTTTGTACGCTCATAAAAATGATGACAACAATATATAATCTCTTAGAAATCTAGAAATTGAAAACAATTTCCATTTTTCTGCTTCGTGTTCATTCCCCTTCTCGTATTCCAGAAAGCGGGCAGGGGTTATGCCCACCACTGCGCGCCTGCCTCCCCTGCACCGCAACACACAGCCTCTGCCGCCGCCACTGCTGCTGCTGTTCCTCTGCATCGGCAACGCAGCTGCTTTGAATGTTACCGCGCCAGCAGTCCACTCCTCCGCCGCCCCTGCTACCTCTGTCGAGTCTTCCACCTCCCTCAGCGCCGCCGCGAGCGCCGCCAGCCCGGCCAGCGCCGCCGGCGCCTCCGCCCCGAGCGCCGCCCCTCCGACCGCCGGCCAACCATGTCTTCCGACGAACGCGTCCGCCGCCGACGCTGACGGCAACGAGACCCAGCCGTGGCGCGGCCCCGAGTACGACGTCGCCAGCGACCCGTTCGTGAACGGCAGCGTGAGCAATAATGGCCTTCTCAACCTCAAGAACGCCACGTTCCCGGCGTTCATCTTCGAGACCGTCAGCCCCTTCGATGATGAGAACGAGACCGTCATCGGGGAGGTGCTGGAGGTCAGCTCGTGGAGCGCAACGGACGTGTGCCTGACGGTGGTGAAGGCGGTGGTGATGGTGGGCATCATCACGGTGTCAGTGCTGGGCAACGTGCTGGTGATCGTCAGCGTCGCCCTCCACCGCCGCCTGCACTCCACGGCCAACTACCTCCTCGTGTCCCTGGCCACCGCCGACATGTTGGTGGCGCTCTGTGCCATGACCTTCAACGCCTCCGTCGAGCTCTCGGGCGGCCGCTGGATCTTCGGCAGGGTCATGTGCGACCTCTGGAACAGCTTCGACGTCTACTTCTCCACGGTGTCGATCCTGCACCTGTGCTGCATCAGCGTCGACCGCTACTACGCCATCGTGAGGCCGCTCGAGTACCCGCTCACGATCACGCGCCGCATCCTGGCCATCATGCTGGCCCACTGCTGGCTGGCGCCCACGCTCATCTCCTTCCTGCCGATCTTCCTCGGCTGGTACACCACGGCGACCCACCTGCAGGAGCGAGACTCTGAGCCTTACGTCTGCGCTTTCGTCGTCAACGCTATTTTCGCCCTTGTGTCCTCCGCCGTGTCCTTCTGGGTGCCTTGCACGGTCATGGTGGTGATGTACTACAGGATATTCCAGGAGGCACGCAAGCAGGAGCGAGCGCTCCTCTCTCGTGCTTCCTCCGCCTCCTCGGCCGCCTACTCCACCTCCATCAGGCTCAGCGCCGCGTCGCAGCAGCAGCAGGACGTCGCCGCTGCCGCCATGGCGCGGCAGCAGCTCCTGGTAGCGCTGCAGGCGACGCCCTTCACCCCCGCCACGCGCCACCAGGAGTTCCTCATGAAGACCCTGAGCGACACGTCGTCGACGGCATCCGTGACTACCACGTCCTCGGGCGTGCCCTCCACGGGGCCCTCTGGAAGCAGCAGCTCGCGCAGCAGCAGCGGCGGCGGCGGCCTCATGGTGTCGGGCTACGCCGCCGGCGCCAACAACAGCGTCAAGGCGAGCACCAGCAACGGCAGCAACAGCGGCACAGGCTGGCGCCACTCGCGGCAGGGCAGCACGGCGTCGTGGCACGGCCCCTCGCGCCACGGCTCGCTGGTGCCGTGTGGGCGGCGCATGCACAGCACGCCCGTCGTCACCACCAAGCCGGGGCCGCCGCCCGTGGGCCGCCGCGAGCACAAGGCGGCGCGCACCCTCGGCCTCATCATGGGCGCCTTCGTACTATGCTGGCTGCCCTTCTTCACGTGGTACGTCAGCATCAACATCTGCGGCTCCGCCTGCCGCTGCCCGCACGCCGTCGTCACCGCCCTCTTCTGGATCGGCTACTTCAACTCCACCCTCAACCCCTTCATCTACGCCTACTTCCGCACCGATTTCCGCGAGGCGTTCCACCGCACCCTCAAGCGCCTCACCTGCTGCCGCCCGCGCCAGCCCTCGGGCGTCTTCGTGTAAGGCCGCCCCGGACACTAGCAGGGCCACCCTCATCCTGGCACCCGAGCCCCGCCCCTGCGCCCTTCCGGTGGAAACGAGGCCTGGGCAGCCACCTGCCTGGCAGCCCCTGACCTGGGCACTACTCCCCCAGCTGGCCCTCGCGCAGGCGGAAGCGGCCTGTGCGCCCTCTCCGTCAGGAGGGATGGTTCGCCGATGTTTGAACGCCGTGGAGAGATTCTTTTCCTGATGGAGAATGACGAAGAAGGACGCAAAGACAAGAAAAGAAAAAAAAAGTAATGTTCGTCAGAGGTTTAGTGTAAGAGTTCTTTTCTGATTTCATCAGCGCTGCAGACATCACACGTCGGGGTGTTTGGTGCTGCGGCCGGGCCCACGGGGCGCATGAGGATCGATTTCTCTTTTTTCGATAGATGTGTCTCCTTTGTCGTGATCAGGAAATATAAATGGACTGTCGCATTTTTAAGTGACAAGATTCGTCGAAAATGTTTGAGAAGATATGTATGTGTGTATATGTGTGTGTGTGTGTGTGTGTGTGTGTGTGTGTGTGTGTGTGTGTGTGTGTGTGTGTGTGTGTGTGTGTGTGTGTGTGTGTGTATATATATATGTATGTATATATATATATATATATATATATATATATATATATATATATATATATAATATACATATACATATACATATACATATAATATATATATATATATATATATATATATATATATATATATATATATATATATATATATATATATATATATATATATATATATGCGTCTATATGTGAGTATTGTTACATTACATCATATGACTGCTGCGATGCACGTGTATGACCAAAGATGATGACACTCAGAGACGCCCAATATCGCCGTCAGTATTGTCATGACGTGTGACTTGACGAAGCAGTGCGACCCTCTGGCACAGCAGTAGCCAGGAAATTCATCCGTTTAAGGTGCACATTGCCAGTTTTAACCGGTGCCAAAGATACTGCGTCACCGGTGGGAGTTTAGTTCCCCAAATTATGTTTTTCTTTCTTTCACTGACTAGCAACAACAGCATTGTCATTTGATCTAATAGACTGCCATGCATACAGTGAAATGTAGAATATTTAGAAACTGGAATATGTAAAAGAAAACAGATAAATTAATCTACTAATGAAACTGCATGCAAACTGTACTCAGAATTTTTTCCTAGTGCAGAGCAGAGTGACCCTCTCACTATTTAATTACTGTGATAGTTCTACTTGTAATGACAAAAAAAACGTATATGAAAAGTAAGTTAAGAGAAAACGGTAAACGTGTGTGATTGTGTGGGATATTATGATAAAGTTTATTGGCTCCAAGTGTGATATATATAAAAAGAACTTTATGAATGTACAGTCGGCAGCCTGACTGGTTTATGTAAATATATATATGTATTAATATTATAGCATAATTACTTATTGTAAATACAGTGACCATGTATACGCAGAAACTATAAGACAATTTTTAACATGTAAGTCTTGTAATGAAGGAATTCGGGTAACCGTTTTACACACTAATAATGCCATATATCTGCAAAGACTTCTGAAATAATTTTCCTCGATAACTGCTAGATTTTATTTTCCATTCGCCAATCATTTTTTTTTCTCTCTCCTAAAGATAAAAATGACATATAAACACTTGTGCTCTTATGCCTGATGCTACATTTCTCCTTTTTATTCTTATTATCATCTTCCTTCTTCTTCTTTTTCTTCTTATTCTTCATTTTCTTCTTCCTCCTCTTCTTCCTCTTCTTCTTTTTATTCTTCTTTTTGTTCCTTTTCTTCTATGTTGTCTTCTTCTTCTTTTTATTTTTTTCTTCTTCCTCTTCATTTTCTTCTTTTTCTTTTTCTTTTTCTTCTCCTTTTTCTTCTTCTTTTCCTTCTTCTTTTCCTTCTTCTCTTGCTTCTTCTTTTTGTTAATTTTGTTAATTTTCTGTTTTTTTTTTTCTTTTTCAGTCTTTTTATTTGTATTTTTTCTTCTTACTTTTCTTCTTGTTAATCTTCTTTTTCCTCCTCCTCCTCCTTTTTCACCCCTCCTCCCCTCTTCCTCCTCCTCCTGCCCCTTCTCCTCCACCACCACCACCTCCTCCTCCTCCGTCCTCCTCCACCGTCGTCGTCGTCGTCCTCCTCCTCCTCCTCCTTCTCCTCCTCCTCCTCCTCCTTCTTCTTCTTCTTCTTCTTCTTCTTCTTCTTCTTCTTCTTCTTCTTCTTCTTCTTCTTCTCCTCCTCCTCCTCCTCCTCCTCCTCCTCCTCCTCTCTCCTTCACTCTCCCCTTCCGCCTCCCCCTCCCCTCCTCCTCCACCTCCTCCTCTTATTATTATCATTATCATTCTTGTCTTTCATATCCTCCTACCTTTCTTTTCTTCTCTCACAGTAAACGACACTGCTAGTGCTACGGTGCTAAATTTAACCGTAACTTCACACCGACACTCGATATGATTCGTATAACGCCAAGACGCTTCTGAAAACTTCTGAGTAAATAGAGGTTTTCGGTTCACTTCAGCTAAAAACAAAGACCTTAGTAACGACGGCAGGAGAGCTGAGGAGGATGCAATAGAACAATCGCGAAGCCTGGCACACATGACAGAAGGTGCGACGCAGACTGAACACTCAAGCGTCATTCGAGTCGGTGCTATAAATTTACCAAAATAAAGAAAGATAGAATAAAATGATATAAACAAAATAAAGAATATGTGGAAAACACATAAGAGCACATCTGTGTACTCAAAGTCGTTGTACCAAAAAAAAAATACAAACAAACACAAACATTTCCACACAGTGAGGGCTGTCAAGCTCGGCACTTCCAAGGGTTTTTTATCTTTACAATTAGTTCGTAAAATAAACTTTACTTACCAATCTTTGACGATGTGTGATCTTCATTTTTTTCTCAAATTATGCAGATGGTACATGGAATTTCATTCGGAAACCACAAGAGAGTGGACGTTTCAAGTGGTTCAAAATGAAATCAGATCGAATTAAGAGAAGTGATTTAACGTTTACTGATGTCAGGATGAGCCTACCCTTGAGATCGAGACGGCCGCCCTCACCACCTGCTAGGGGAGTCCAGGGGAACTGCGCA